GAAAAATCATATTCGCTGCAAAATTGATGGCATTAAGTGCCCGATCGCCTGGCCAGGTGGGTCGAATAGCTACGTCAGGACCGTATTAACTAATTTCACTCGACTCGCTAGTAGAAAGTAAATGTCGGGGCATTAGGAAATAAGGTGCCAGAAAGATGATGTTAACTCATATTCAGTAGAAAAACAGTCGGATTTTGAGAAAATCAGTAGATGTTGAACAAGAGCTGCATTGAATTAGGCTATAAAAACGATACACAGCTCGGGACAATTGAGTAAATATGCCTTTTTTAATGCGGCTCCACACCATTCAGCTATGCTGAAGGGATTCTAGGAATCCAGCTCTCGTGATACCAAATCTCAAACTGCGATTGCACCTTCAAGTCTGCTACCAAAATAGCCGTAAATAGAGATTAAAGGCACTAAACGTCTGGGCCAGTGCCGTAAATGTGGTTGGCAAGTCTCTCAAGCCTGAAATGCTAAAAGATGCCGGATGAAATTGAAATGTAATGTTGGCCTACAGCTCCATGAGAAGCGGCATTCACGAACTCTTCCGGAGCCAGGCCGTTCATTCAAATAAGACTACCTCAACTATGTTCATATTTTATGCTCACCTCATACGCATGTTGCTTCTCATTTAGAAGTATTCTATGAGTTTGTGTTATAGTTGGGATTCGCACAATCCCTTTCATTCTAGGAACTTCATGAAAATTTAGCTTACTTTTATCATTTTTTCACTGTGTTTCCCCATCCTTAATTATATTTCTCGTTGAGTGGCCATTTACATTTTCTTATCTTAAGCCAAGTCTTCCATTATTCACACAATTGAATATGTATCTATTGAAATTCACTTTTTATTTCTAGGTTGAGCTGCAGATTTTCAACAATCTCCCAGAAAAACCTATTCCTCCAAAGTACATGGCTCTTTACATCGGCCTTTCTATCTGTGGTGGCCTCTTGCTCCTGGCGCTTCTCGTTCTCATTCTCTGGAAGGTAAATGTGTGACTGCGTTTGCACGCATTCCTTAAAAATTATGTGAATAATATCAATGGAACAGCGAAAAGTATTCGTTTATATTCGCTGTAGCGTCTCTCATCGAATAATTGTAGAGCAATAATTTCCCCTCAAATCACACACCTCCAGGATATAATGCATTTTATTAAGTTAAATGCTTATCATAAGTATTTGCTCATTATTCATTCAATACCTGATTTTACATAAATAATTATGTTACTAGATCTTTGATATTTGCATGTACTTTCATGATGCTAAGAAGCCAACTGCCAACTTTCCCAAATTTTCCAGTACTCCTGAGGGTGGATATGACTAAACCTTATGCTAGATTTATCAGTTTATGAGTGGCAATACCCCTTAGGTTTACTTGGTTTCCATCTCCATTTTATTATTGGAGTTCCGACATGGATACAAGGCCCCCCATTAGTCACATAATAAATTAGGGTTGAGTGATTATACTTTTAATTGCAAGCCAAAGAGCAGGCTTGATTTTTGCATGGCAATTTTGCCTGACTTCTTTTCACGAAATGCATTTGTCACTTACATTGGGATGCACAAAGAATAAAACTCAGGTGATTCCGTTTAAATTTCCTAACCAGTGT